AAACAAGCAACTTTTTGGAGGATCGAACTGGTAGATTTACAATGGCAAAAAAAATTGAGCATCTACGTATGATTTTTAGGAAAATACTATAAATTTCTATATGTATGAAATAATAGAAGAAAATTGACTTTTTTAGCCAAAGGAACGCGAAAACTTCAGAGGGGGGTTTTTCTCAATCATGCTCTCTCATTAAGGGTGGCATGAAGAGCTCCCCGTTTATTTGAAGTGTACTAACTTCAACTTACAACTATTCAAATTTTGTTGATGTCCTTACTTCAAGTACATCGCATCACTGTTTTTTGCCTTCATTCAATTTATTGGGACCTTAATTATCTCAGTAGAAATCTCTGAAAGCAATGGAAGGTTATCCGAAGCATGCAAAGTGGATCGATGGTCTGGAGTGGAAGAAATAGTAAGAATTCGGGACCGTGACCTACCTGATGCTTCCTTTTTCATTCACGTCCTAGGAGAACCTTTGCCGATCAACGGAACCAGGGTTGCAGGATTGACGACCTAGATGGTGGGTTATCAGAAATTGCAGAAGTTTCTGAAATTCTCTGGAGCGTTCCTCTTTGTTGATCCCCATTCTTCGTGGTATTTGTTGCATTTGTTGCATCAATCAATAAGCATTCGAACCACGGTTTAAGGTTTTACGTTGAAATCTAAAGAAAATCGAATGGTAATCTCAAGAAAGGAAGTTTACCTATGATCATGGGTTTCTGATCGTAAAACTTGGACGATCATTTCCTTTCCGATTCACTACCTCAAAGGAATTCCGAAAATTGTGTTAACAAACTGTCCTTCTTGAGAACGTCGCCTTTATTTCATTAACGACACCAGCGATGGTCGTTCTTGGCCTCAATTGATTTTAATTTCTCGCTGTACTTTCGACAATTTTCCTATTGGTGGTCTTCTGAGGGTAAATTCCTTCGAAACATTCCAAGGAGAAGAAAAATTCTGAAAAACGGACACGGCTGTGATGCAGTTCCAACACCTTCAGAGCTGATCTTAGGGCTGAAAGCGTTGGCGTGGCCATCACTTGTAGGGTTTGGAGATTTGCTTCTCTCCAGATCTACTAGAACTTCCATATTCTCGAGCCTATTCGTTGATATAACCCTTGTTTGTGAGTATCGAAGTCTTGAGCTGTACGATACCTGGTACCTGGTCATTGATTTACATGCCGAATGCGTACTCAAATAGCCACTACGATTCTGAATGGATGTCAAATACGGGGAAGCATCCCAAAAATGAGAAAGATTGACGCCAAAGCCAGGACGCCATTGACCTATATCCTTCATAGAAAAAAGTTTACAACAAAACAATGCTCGAAACAGGTGCGTATGTACACTATGACATACTTGTGGTGCGTGCCAATCGTTCCAGAGTACTTAATCACTTCATTAATCCGATTAATTTTATTTTTTTGGTTATGAGTTTTTATTTTTCTTTTGAATTTCTCTCATTTTCTAAGGAAGTCTAATGTACACAGACTTTGCGCGCTGATCTATCCGCGTTAGGGATGCGCCCTGTATATAACGTCCATTCAGAATAGCTGTTTGAATGCGTATGTTGCCAATACAATGACTTGAGGTTGCCAGCCGATATACAAGTCAGTACTTTATAACAGACGAGTCTGGTACCATATAATCGACCCTAGAAGGAAGTGGCTTAATGGCTTGAGCGGGTATCCGTGGATTTGAACCCGAGACCAGAGTGTGAAGTGCGCCACTTGCCACTATATCGTCCTCGCCCTAATATCTCCTGTTTTCAGCAGAAAGCGGCGATTTCTTCTGACCTTTTCCTTAGCGCTCCCCAATTAGCGGTTGACTTGACTAAGTGAATTTCCATTTGAGGGAATACCAAAATTGAGGTTAATGGGTTAATAATAGCATAAACTCAGTAGGTCCATCAGGATCGGTCGATCCATGAGCTTTCAGTGTTATCGAATTACAACGGGGTATTAAAAAATGTTCCGATTACACCGTGAACAGGAGGATATAAAGGAGAATCCTGGGGTGAACATCGATTTCTGACAGCGGCTACATTCTATCCTTTCCACTAATACTTTCCTCTAACAACTCGGTAGTAGTCACAATAGAATAATTTGCCTTTTACTCTTTACTTCAGTGATTATTTCTCCTGTCCATTCGCCTGTCATCGCTGGTTCACCATGAAAATCCAGTAGGAGTTACTCTGCCTCGTTTCTTTTCCAATGTCTACGTTCATGTTGTAGCAGGAAATTCTGCTCCGAATCCGGTGGTCATCTCATTACACCACTTTTTTCCTGGCCATTATTTGAGCCAATTTCGTGGACGGGTTGTCTACAGCTATTATTTATCTATCTTTTATCCATCTATCTATCTATTTTGATGGTCACAGTCCCCTTGAAGCTTTACATCTTCTTTGCATATCGTTTTTCTTAACTTTCGGAATGTCTGGCTTCATTGCTAAAATAACGAATTGCTCAGCAAATGCTCCGCCCATAATTCGCGATCCACCACCATCCTGTGGTACGCCCCTCCTCCTTAGCGCAACCTGAACCACAGGCAACTAACATATGTTTTCCACATTTCTTGCTCAAGACGTATCTATGTATGACTAGTTTTTTACTTTTACAAGTTCCTCTTACTCGTGAGTGTTTCATCTTAGATCGATATCGCATGCCAAGTGAGACTTTCATCCCTCCGGGGTCGGGTAATTGGTACCGAACTCGTCTCGGAGGATAGAAGCACTACCGTGTGTATCGGTTGCCCACCGTAAGTCATTGTATAGGCCGCATTCAATGCACCACTACGATTCTGAATGGAAGTCGAATGCGGGGCGCATCCCTAAGGCGGACTGATCAGGGTTCGAATAATTTATCCCTTTTCATAGCCCCTGTAAGGAACTTTGCTTATCTCCAAAAGATATCAGAATCCTGAGGCGGTCAAGGAGAGGGCAGTGAAGTGGGTGAAACAAAGGAGAGCAGTTCACGATGTAATGGTTTCCAAGATTATTTCTCAGGTGAAGCCTGCGGCTCGTGGGCAAAAAAACCAGCTCGGCCAATCCATGCATCCCGAGATGACCGTGCTGTGACAGCATCGTTAAGGCTGCAATATTCGAAATGGAATACAGATGTTGAAAATCCAAACAAACAATGGCGTTAGTAGAAGCCTCCATACTCGGCGTCGGCGTCAGGGAGTCTGTATGTCTCCCACATCAGCACAGTAATCGTCAGCATCCTAACCTGTATGTCTGCGCTGGTGTTAGGAAGCAGACACATTGTACGTTTTGGTGGGAGGTGCATAGGCAGCTACTGACGGAGGCATTGATACGGCACTTGCGATCATACGTAACTTTTTTAATATGAAACAGTTTTCTTAGCTCGGATATATTCGTGAGAAAGGCAAACCTCACTTGCAAATGTGAAACAACATTTCTTTACTTTTTATCTGCACAGCACGAGCCCACATCCTGCAGCGTGGGCCCCGGTTGCGTGGTATCGATTGGGCCACGCTGACACCGGCGTTACTGCGCTGGTAGTATGAATGCTAAATTCTGTAATATCCTTTTAATGGATCTCTTGATGCCTTATAATTTCTGTTCATTGTCGAATTTTGTGCTTTCTTAGCCATTTTTGCCCTGTTCAGCATCATGGCCTCCACTATTTCACTTGAAATAGGCCCCACAAAATTATCATGGACTGTGCTTCGAAAGGTGAAGCATTTGACGTCGATCAATCTTGTTTGTGAGTGCACCACATATACGGTATCTAGTCAATAGTGGCTCTTTGAACATTCGTAGCCGATTTAACGAAAGGCGGGAGACACTCTATGCTCGAACCGGTGCTTTTTTCTCCCAGACATGTCTGATATCAATCAGCCCACTCAGGAAGAATGGAAAGCTCGGTTGGCCTAGGCAGACATCGATTACTCGACTAGACATTAGTGATTTTCCGGTACTTTGAAGTGCACTTACCACTTCCTCCCACATCTGAAGCAAAACTGAAATAAAGTTAATCCAATGGATTCATAACAGCTTCCAAAAAGACAACTCTGTGTCAAATAAGGTATGAAAGTAAGATCCCTTCCATTGCATAGTTCACATGGCATATGCAAGACCTTGCTCCTGACAGGAGCCTTCCGTCTGCCATTGTGAGAAGAACAACTGGGGATCAACAAAAAATGTTGTCAGTGAATGGATAGATTGGCCGATGAAAATCATGAAAAAAGAGGGAAGTGGGCGTTAAAGTGACGGGTCAGAAAAGTTCGTTTCTGTCATCAAACTTGAGCCTACCGATGAAAAAGAGATTGAAATAGAAATGCTAAAAAAAGAACTTTCCTCATCTTCCCTTCCACCAACTCTCTCCACCGATCCTCGCTTGTTCGAAGAAATACGCAATTCTTTGTTCTGAAAATGCTTCGCATCGCTATCTTCAAATTGCTATTTCAGGAAAAAATTTTAAAAAAATTACCTCAGATTCAGTGAAATGCTGAAATTATACTTACTATGTTCTGTGAGCGTTGTTTTGGTATCAAACCAGCATTTACAAAATTCTTATCAACAACCAGTCAGCAGTAAACAGCAGGTAAGATTGGAGTTTGCCGGTTGCACTTGCCATACACACTTTTTGCTTGATTTTCATGGAAAATTTATACAACGGTTACTCAAATTTTTGACGAAATATAGATATCACCTGAACGATTCTGCGAGCGTTATGTTGAATGTGTAGCAGTATCGACGCTTGAAGAGAGACTATGCTTAGGTAGGTGTAGTTTAATCATCTTTCACTGAATTCTTTCGTTCTTAACAACGTGCAACCTTTACCTGTCGAAAAAAATTGGGTGAGTGGAACATGCCCAAATCCACTATCTCTTCGACGCTAACCAGCGCGGCTTTATTCATGGAGCTTGCGGAGGTGAAGGCCTTGATATGAAAGCGAGTGCCTACGTACCTTAACCTCACCTCCCCACATGAGCATCGGCTGGGCCTACAAAAAGGCTCTCAGTGTAATACCGGTTGTTAGTTCGCCAAGCGATATAGAAAACCTTGGCCCTGCTGAGTCTAGAGCGAGTTGGTGGGGACTTGGCCCTACAGGAGAGCTCCAGGATTCCCAATAGAGGCTTGCTGACTGGAGTGATTTGCTTATCGTCTGCCGTAATCATCTATTATTGCAGGGAATACTGAATTACGTCCTTTTTGGTTACCTAACTTGAATGATCAAACTGACTGCCATGAAAAATTACGAAACGATTACATTACTGTAAGTTCATCAGATGTTTTCTTATTCCCACAATTTTTTGCCTCTCACAACGTGAAAAGAAAATTCCATTGATTTTGAAGCACTACAAAGTTGCCAAATGAACGAATTGATAAAATTTTCTGTTCAGTTAGAAAGGATGGAAGAGAAGCTCGATCAGGAGCTGCTCTCGTGTCTACTACAAAATACAGCACCATTCTCGGCCGAAGCAGTGAGTCATCTCAATCTTATTCGGTAGTCACCTCTTGAAGGTCAAGACAAACATTGTAGGAATACTACCTCAGTATGTCAAGCGGGTAGAGATACTTATATTCAATAAAGAACAATAAGTAGCCAAGAACAGCACTGTAGAAATTAAGGAAAGGATATCTTTTTGAGCTCAGTTCGAATGACGTTTCTCCCTTCCACCCCCTTTTTCAGACCTTGAAAGATATTTAATATCCATTCATACAGCATTTCAGAATTTAGTTCGGTACGAACCCAGGCTGTAGATACCCAGACCCATCTTGCTGATTTCCATGAATAACTTATTATAGATGAACCCTGGCCGTGGATACCCAGACTGATCCTGCTGATTACCACGAATAACTTATTGTTGATGAACCCTTACTATGGATACCCAGAAATGCCTTGCTAATTACCTAAGATAATTCACTAGATGATGTAGATGTACAGTGATAGAGATGGAAATCACCTTAGAAAAGCAATTGAATATGGTTGACTTGGCCCTTGATTTGCTTTAATGAGACTTTTGCTCATTCTTGACCTTCTATGGTATTACTACCAGTTCATAAGCTAATAGGTTTTACTGTTTAGGCCAACACATGCAATAGGGATGCATATCGATCGGCTGCGACATTCGATTTTGCGCGAAGCATTTTCCATGTGCCCACGCAATGTTTTACTAGTGTCGAAAGGCGCATAGCTAGGCAATGTGGGCAAGTGAAAAGCTGCTGTTCGGCTGTGTCCAGGTGAGCTATTGCAGGAACAGTTTTCGATTAGGAAAGAGTTACAGTACCGTTTTTGTCCTCATGGAGAAGACAGCTGTGAGAGCTTTCAATAGCATGCTAACTCTACAGGGATACGCCATGCTTTTCACCACAATTCAGACTTAATTAATAGATTTGAAAGTCTGCTGATGATCTATATGGTTCAACTTTCCCCAAGAACTTCGACAAGTCGCATCAGTCGCAGAAGGCCACTTACAGATCCTAGTTCTGATAA